AGCCGCAGAGGCGCGGGTGACGAGGCGGAATGAATGGGAGAGGCGGGCGCCGGCCGGGACGGGAACCAAGGGGCAGGGACGCAGGGGACCTGGCACCGGGGCAGGGCTGGGAACCGGGGGCAGGAGCCCCGGGGGCCTGGCGGTGGAGGGAGAGGGGAGGGGCAGGGAGACGGGGGTCTGCCATGTGGACAGAGCAGGGGACGAGGAGAGGGGCAGGTTTGGGGCTCCCAGGTCAGAAAGCCTAGTGAAAGCAGACAGGGGGCCACGGCCCACGGGGTAGGGTAAGGACGCACTCAGGAGTGGAGGCTGAGAAATGAGCAGCAGGGTCGGTCGAGGACAGTGGCAGGGACACAGCCGACAAGGGTCAGCGTCTCTGGCATAGGGCTGAGAGGAACAGAGAAGCACGAATGCCGTCTGATGCAAGGGAGATGAAGAACAGGTCCCAGGGCATGGGCAGGACAGGGGCATGGGGGGGTATGTCTACACTGCCACCCTAGTTCGAACTAGGGTGACAGTGTAGACATACCCTGGGACACGGTTGAGGGTGTAGGAATGATGGGAAAAGATGTGGAGGAGGAAAACAGTGCCAAGGGATAGGGAAAAGCAGACAGAGGATGCAGGTTGGGGCACTCGTTACAACCTTTGGTTGAAATATTCACATAGTAAGCATGTAAAATTATGAATAAAAAATCCCTATTTACCTACCTTGATTTGATTAGGTGTCTCAAGATAAAACATCTGCTTTGAAACTATTCATCTTGACCTTTGCCCCTGGAAATTGAAATTATGTCAAGATATTGTTATTGAAATTGCAAGACAGCCATGAGAGAGACTATCTTTACTCCTTATTGCTTCCAGCCATGATACACCTTTAGGTGCTTAAGTAAACATTGCTACTCTCACTGGCTGAGGTACTGTTGTGCTGCTCATCCTACAATCAGAAAAGCTGTCTTGCATCCCATTTTGCCGCTTCTTAAAATGATGCTTGTACATATACAATGGCATTTTGTAATTTAGAAAAGCAACTTTATGGTTTCAAGAAGATACCATGTAATTCACTAATAACCATGTAATGTTATGCCTGTGGAACTGTGCACATCTCCAAAAGCCTCATGTGAATTAACATTTTATGATCACTGATTAATTATTTTACCCAATGTGCTGTTTGGGAGATACAACCAAAGTTTGCTCCCACCTGCTAATGTAAATCCAGAGCACATCATAGAAATCATAGATCCAGACCTGGAATGTTTGGTTCAAAACCAAATTGTGGGCTAGAGTTTGATGGTGATGAGACCTATACGTTGTTCATGCAAACTTACTGCACCAAATGGTTGGGAATGTCTTTAAAACAATTGATCTTCAGAAATGTCCACTATTTTGAATGAGAGAAGCCTC